GGGGCCTTGTGGGAAGGCCTTGGGCTCACCCTCCACCCAAAGTGGGAGCCCTGGAGGGCTTTGGGCAGAGAAGGGTGGGACCTAATTCAGGTGCTCACAGGCGCCCTCTGGCCACTTTGGGGAGAACAGACTGTGGGATTCGGGATGGGGGGGAGGGCAGGGCAGAAGCAGCTTCCAAATCCTTCTATTCTTCAGGGCTCTGCTCCCAGCCCTGCTTCAGGCAAATTCTCCCACTTTCCACCTCCCAACATAGAACCGACTCTCCTATTTATTGTTAAATATCCCCTGGGAATGCGGGTGCCCTAGGGCCTCTCTCCTAAGGCTGAGTGAGTGCCTTAACCTCTCTGAGCCTCAGTTTCCTTACTTGCAAAATGGAGCCGCCCAGCAGCTGCCCCATTGCGTAGCTGTGAGGAACGAACCATTCACGTGCATCAGGCACACACACGGAGCCACCAGAGCACGCAAGGGGGGTGCTCGGAAAATGATCCCCACATTAAATATGAGGACGGGCCACGCCCACCACCCCTCGCCTGCCCCAGACTCACCCAGCGTGATGGGCTTGCTGTCCTCCTGGTCAGAGCCTATCCCGGCCCGGGGACTGCCGCTCTGCTCCGCGTCTGCCAAGAGAGGAAGGAGTTAGTGATACAGGACGGGCCCTGAACGTTTGAGGCCCCGGGGTCTTTGCTTGGCCCCTCCCTTGGCTGCTGCCCCAGAGGGTCATGGGTGTCTGGCCGGGCAGCTGCAGGCATCAGCACAGGTGCCGGGGCTCTCGGTGTAGCCAGGTGCTGGAATGTGGCCGCACAGGGCGAGAAGCCATGTGCAGGGGCCGACTCAGTGGGGGGTTACAGCTCTTCCCCTGAGCCTCAGTCTCCTCATTTGTGAAACAGGGGAGCTCATTTAATCCTGCCTTGGTCCTAGGAGCTTACAGATGGCGAAACTGAGGCCAGAAAGATGAGTTCTTGAACCCTGGGGCCCACTCCTCTCGGCCTCTGCCCTTCAAGTCCTAAGGGCTCAGCCCTTGGTCTCGGGGTGCTACTCAGGGTCTCCAGAGAGGGGGCCGAGGGGCATCCCTCTGCAGCTGCAGTGCCCCCACCCGCTGCCTGGCTTGCGGGCTACCTCCCGCCCCAGCACTCGCCCATCCATCTTATCTAAAAATAATCAGGCTCCTTGGCAGACGGGTGCAGCGGGCAGACGCTGAGCTCAGCGTTATCGGCTCCGGTGGCCTGGATGAAGGGTGATCACGCCAGCTCCCTCTGCAGCCCCACACCCACCCAGGACCCAGGCTGAGGGGGGCCCAGGGCCCAGCCCAGCTGCACAGAACCCAGGACCCACCCATTTGTCTTTCAGGTCGAACAGAAAGGTGCTGGGAATCACAATCAAATGCCAGAGAGAGAGACTCGGCCCCCCATACCCGCTGCCCTGCCACACCCAGAGCTGAGAGCAACTGCTGTGTGACCGTAGGCCAGTCACCTACTCCTCTGAGCCGCAGTCTTCTCCTCTTTCAAATGGGTGTGAGCATCGCCCAGCCTGACTGGGTTGCCAGGAGGTGACAAGGGGATAATACATAGGAAGCGCCTGGGCAGACATGGTAATGTCATTATTATTATCACTAGAGGCCCGATGCACGAAAATTCGTGAAAGGGTAGGCCTTCCTTCCCCCGGCTGCCGGCACCGGCTTTCCTCTGGCACCCGGGACCCGGCTGGCTTCCCTCCGGCCCCAGCTTCGTCAGGAAGGACGTCCGGAAGGACGTCTGGTCTAATTAGCATATTACCCTTTTATTATTATAGATTATTTTTAAAATCCCTAAGATGACTGCAGATATTGCTGTTCCCCATTTTATATGCTCCCTCAAATCCTTAAGATAGCCACAAAGCTGGCATTGTTACTGTACCCATTTTATAGGCAAGGAAAACAGGGTTAAAATGATGAAAAGGTCCCCACCCCACAGCACTTGTGCTCTGTGATGAGGGTCACAGTTGAGCCTGGAGCAATGTGGGGGTCAGGGGCGTTGTTAACAATCCTTGTAACATTGGACTCCCCCCAAAACTCAATTAATAGCTTACTGTTGACCAGAAACCCTACTGATAACATAAACAGTCTGACACATACTTTGTCTGTTATATGTAGGATAGACTGTATTGTTACGATAAAGCAAGCTAGAGAAAAGGTTGGTCAAAAAGCATAAGGAACAGAAAACACATTTACAGTATTTACTGAAAAAAATTCCACACAGACGTGGATCCATGCTCTTCAAGCCCATGTTGTTCAAGGGCCAACTGTGTTTCTTCCTCCGTCTGGGCAGGTGGCCAGCCGTCCAACACTGCGCGTGCGCCGTCTGGCTTCTGGGATCAGACGCCGGGTTCCCATCCGTCTGGGAGCCTCCGAGGAGGTGTGGTCGTGGCGCGGTCACTTCCCCTCTCGGGGCCTGTGTTCCCTCGGTGTTGTCATGGAGATAATAATAACGCGGATACTTCCTAAAACAGTCACGCGCTCCTGCTGCTTGCCTGGCACTGTGCTAGCGGCTTTGCACACGTGTGTGGTACACCTACTGGCTGCCAAGTGGAGGGCGCCACAAACAGCACAGGAGGGGCCTGTGCGGGCCCCGTGCCTCAGTTTCCCATCCTGGAGTGGGCGGATGGGGGCAGCTCCTTCTTGACTTGGCTTTGCAGCCCCAGCCGTGGCCGACTGGGCTGGGCATGGCTGGGCAGCGGCCGAGGGGAGTGTGCCCGGCTCGGCCCTGAGCCCTGTGGCCACTTCCAGGTTGGGCAGCCAGCAGCCCCTCGGAGCTGGCCAGTCCCGCTTGGATGGCCCCACGGCTGGGCACGGTGGCCACTCCATTGGGAAGTGCCCAGCTCGGGCACTCATCCGCCGGGCTCTGGGCCTCGGGCACGGGACCCTCTTCCAGAACTGGTGCCCACAGGGACTCAGCAGGCAGCAGTGCCTGGCTGACGCTCCGGAACGGGCATGTTTCCTGAGCACCGCCTCTGTGCTTGTGGCTTTGGGACCAGGCGGACCAGGCTGTGGGCCTCAGAAGCAATGCTGCCTCTCTCTCTGAGCCTTACTCTCTTCATCTGTGAAATGGGCACAACCCCGGCACCTCCCCTGAAGGCTGTTCATCGGGGAAAAGGTGATGATGCTACAATGAAGTGCCCGAAACAAAGGCTGGTGTGCAGTAAGTGCTGCATCAAACGGAGGAGGAGCCTCATTACTATTATTAGCAGCTTTGTTGTTTGTGCCTTGGTGGCTCTGTATCCATTACAAGCGACTGCACTAGGCTATGGCTGGCTCTAGCTGGAGCCTTGTCTCATTGTCCATCCGCTCTGGGACCGCAGGCCAGCCACACCACCTCTTTGAGCCTTGGTTTCCTCAACTGTAAAATGGGCAAAATAATAAACCCCACCTCCCCGGGTTTGGTGAGTCACCCAGTTAGCTAATATAAAGTGTAAAACAGTTGCCATCCAATTGCCAATCAATACATGGTAAGTTTGGGGACAGATTAGAAACGATACCGTGTTTTTAATTTTTGTTTCTAATTGTTCACTGCTAGCATTTAGAGGTGCGATTGGATTTTTTGTGTGCATCCTGTATTTTGCAGCCTTGCTGAATTTACTTCTTAGTTCTCAAAGCTTTATTTTTTTTTAATTCCTTGGGATTTTCTATGTAGACCATGACGTCCTTTGCAAATAAAATAGAACCAGTTTTGTTTCTTCCTTTCCAATCTGTAGGCCCCTGATTTCCTTTTCGTGCCTTATTGCACTGGCTAGGATCCCAGAGCAATGTTAAGGAGCAGCGGGCAGCAGTCCGCCTCGCTCCTGAGCGTCAGGAACTCGCTCACGCCCTCACCACTAAGCCTGACGTTAGCTGTGGGTTTCTGCAGGTCCCTTTGTTGGGTTGAAGAAGATCTCTTCCTTCTCCATCGTCCTGGGAAATATTTTTTAATTCAAATACGTGTAATTTCTTAATAATATGATGATGTACTTATTTGCTATCTCATTAAAATATTTTTACATTTAACTTTCAGATTGCAGTTAGGAGCATAGCATAAACTTTCACCATTTCTCAGTGTACAGCTCATTACCTGTTACCCACATCCACAATGTTGTATAACCGTCCCCGCCATCCGTCTCCAGAACTTTCTCATTTTCCCAAACGGATGCTCTGTCTCCATTAAACACTAACACCTCCCCCCAAGCCCCTGGCTCTCACCATCTACCTTCTGTGTTGATGACTTGGACTCCCCTAGAGACCCCGTATGAGTGGAATCACGCAGTATCTGTCCTTCCGTGCCTGGTTTATCTCACTGAGCGTAATGCTCTCAGTCCCATTCACGTTGTAGCCTGTGTCAGAATCTCCTTCCTTTTTATGATGCCATCTTCTTTCTTTTTTTAAAAAAATATATTTTATTGATTTTTTTCAGAGAGGAAGGGAGAGAGATAGAGAGCTAGAAACATCGATGAGATAGAAACACCGATCAGCCGCCTCCTGCACATCTCCTACTGGGGATGTGCCCGCAACCCAGGTACATGCCCTTGACCGGAATCGAACCTGGGACCTTTCAGTCCGCAGGCCGACGCTCTATCCACTGAGCCAAACCGGTTTCGGCAATGCCATCTTCTTTCTAATCATCTCTGAAACCTCAAAACAGTTCTCCCCCACCTGCTGACCGCTTGCCTGTCATCTGGGTCAGCTTCGAGAGCTGTCTAGGAGGAGAGCCACTAGCCACATGCGACTTTGCATTTAAATGAAATGAAATGAAATTTTCAGGACACCAGTTGCACTGGTCGCCTTTCAATCCTCCACAGCCACACATACCAGCTGGGACCATGCTGAACACGCCGGCGTCACGGCCGGCTCTGCTGGGCGGAGCTGCCTGGATGTTCCCCGGACAATCGGGGGGAGGAGAGGCCAGCGAGCTCCTCCTCCTCCACGTACTTGCACACCCAGCCCTGAAATGCATCGTCCTCCCGTCTCCACAGATGCACCCGCAGCAGATAACGCTAGAGGCTGGCTCCTGCCCCAGCCCCCGCCTCCAAGCGGGCAGCTTCCTGTGCCAAGTTCTCACCGTGCTCAGAGCTTCCTGGTGCCGTCCAATTCAATCCGCCCCATTGACGAAGTGCGTAAACTGAGGCCCAGCTCAGAGAGTCGGGTTCCCAAAGGTGGTATCAGAAGCTGTCTGCCTAGCCCAGAGGTTCTGAACTGGGGTGATTCTGGCCCCCAGGGCTGTGCTTGTCACAATGGGGTGCTCCTGGCATCGAGTGAGCGGGGGCCAGGGATGTGGCTCAGCACCCCAGTGTCCAGGACAGCCCCCCACAGAGTGACCGGCCCGTATCTCAGCAGGGCCGAGGGGCCCCTTGTCTAGATCCGTCCATCCTCAGTGGGGGCAAAAATTGGTTCTTGGGGGTATAAGAGGATTAGAGAATGTTGCTCTTTTGATGTATAGAATATAAATGTATGTATAGATATTGATACACTACATAAATAGGTATAATAATATCTATTTAATAGATATTAAAATTTCGTGGGGTGAAGTGATTCGGGAAAAAAATGTCTAAAAGGCTCTGTAGGGGGAGGTGCTAATGGAAAAAAGGGTCAAATCCATTTGTACAGGGTTGTGAA